CAACTTCTCTTATTAAATTTCCTAGACTTTAGCTATCCCTAAACTTTACAGTTACAATTCCTTTACTTCTCTAATGTATTCACTTTTTTTTTTTTGGTACCGGGGATTGAACTTGGGACCTTGTGCTTGTGAGGCAGGCGCCAGAACCACTGAGCTAAATCCCCAGCCCGATTTTTGGTTTTTTGAGACAGAGTCTTGCTTTGTATTTCAGGCTGGCCCTGAACTCATTATGTACCCCAGGCGGGCCTCAAACTCACAGTACTTCTGCCTCTGCCTCCCAAGTGCTGGGATTACAGGTGTGCACCACCATGCCTGGCTTTAAAAGGTATTTTGCCCTTGGTGGTGGATGGATCTCAGCTTTTTTTCTTGAATCTACTAAGCTCCCAATTCAGTGTACTGCAGTTCTGTACTTGGTTAAGATCCAAGACATAAGGTGAGTTGATTTGGGTCCTCCAGATATTACTGTCAGGCCAGTCTCTCGGGGTGCAGAATGTCGCTAGGAATACAAACAGGCACTAGTCTCTTCTCTCCTAGGAAGGACATGGCACATCCCCAAATTTAGTTTAGTTTGTGTCCTCAGTTTTCTGATGAGTTAAAAGTATTGTTTTTATTTTCTAGCTAAATGGTCTTTTTGGGCTTTTTTGCTAGAGTGGGAGCTATACTCTCTCATGACTTTCTACATACATATCCAAGAACTGGAGATTTTTTTCAAAAAATGGTCTTATTTAAATATTTTATTAACTTTTTTTTTTTTTGGTACCAGAGATCAAACTCAGGACCTTGTGCTTGTGAGGCAGGCAGCAGCACCACTGAGCTAAATCCCCGGCCCTGTTAACTACTTTTTAAAATTTAAAAATTTACAAAAATTAAATTTTACAGAATTATAAATAATGAAAAGCAGCATCTTCCCATCCCTGAGGATTCTGTAGTCCTGTTACCTCCACAGAGACAAGTATCTTGCTAATTTCTTGTAATATTGTCTATAAAATCTGTAAATATCTCCTTAATTTTCTTTTTTAATCACAAATGGAAGTATACTATATTTTCCTTTTTTTACACAGCTATTTTACAACTTGAAGACATTCAAAAGCTACACAATACATCTTAGTATGAATAGGCTTTGGTTTATGTAAATGGTCCTCAGTGGTAATTTCCAGGATTTTTCCTCAGAAAGCAGTATATATATACCTTTGCCCACACTCACCATTGGCCATTGTGCACTTATTGTATCAGGAAGGAGTATCTTTAAAATACTCCATGAAGGCTTATGAATAATATGAATGGTTTATATTATTTTAAAAGAGTCTCACTATGTAGTTCAGGCTGGCCTTGAACTGCATAGCTCAGGCTGGCCTCAAACTGGCAGTGATCCTCCTGCATCAGCCTCCCCCATGCTGGGATCACAGGTGTGCACCACATCCAGCTTTTGTATTATTGTACAGTGGTGTTTCCTATAGTGTTGGCTGGGCTCTCAGAGTTTGTAGTATGAGTTTGTGGGAGACATGACGGACACACTGAATGGGCAGGTGGTGCAAATTTGTCCAGAAGACGGCATCCAAACCAAATTGGCTGTGGATCCTAATAAAGTCCAAATGACACAGTAAAACCTTAAGTTGGAAAAACTTAGTTGTAGATCCTTTTTAACCTATTGTTGGAGATATTTAAAAGTTACTGATGTGAGGTGGGTGTGGTGGCACATGCCTGTAATCCCAGCACTGGGGAGGCTGAGGCAGGAGGATCACCACCAGTTCCAGGTCAGCCTGGGTTACATAGTGAGTTCAAGGCCAGCCTGGGCTACTTAGCCAGACCCTGTCTCAAA